AAAAAAAAAAAAAGGATGAAGGGCATTCCACAAAAGACACCAGTATATTCAAAGATATGAATGTTTTAGAGAGTTATAAAATACTTCAGTACAGCTGAAGGGGAAAAATGGAAAGAAAAGAGGTTTTTAGTTAAGTAATGCTAAGGAATTTTGACTTTATCCTGTAGAATATCTCAACCATGAAAAATGTGAAGTAAGTGAGTGGCCCAATTTTTGTGCCAAAAGTGATTCTAGGCCCAAGCAGAAAACACATTGAAGAAAAGCAAAACTAGAGGCAGGGAAATTCCTGAGGAAGCTACTGAAGTTATGAAGAGGAACCATATTCAGAAGATACCAAGAACTGGTGTCTGGCTTGCACATAAGGGAAACAAAGTGAGGTAAAGTCTAGAACTTGTCACCTGGATCACCGTTGTTTCTCATTCTGCTTCTTCCTCCTTCCATCGTAACCTGCATACTTACACACTTTACCAATCTTTCCAAAACATTCCTTTTATTATGCCAGCCACCAGCTACTCAAATGCCATAATACATGCAGTTCCTGGTTTTCAATTTCTCTCAAATTTCAATGGCTTCTTACTTCCACTGTCCCCTAAATTCAACTCTGCTTTTCAGATCCGACTCTATCTTACTTCTCCAGTTATCTTTCTGAACCATCTCCTCTATTTGGGGGATCTTCTGACAAAGTCAGACACTTGGCCTGATAGTCCTTCCTCTGGTCCTTCATTCAAGAATTATGATCATGACACCATTTTGCCAGAACGGCTATCTTTTTGGTCACCTAAGACTCAGAATTCTTACTGTATCTAATAACTATATCTTAGTCTGAAAGTATTCTCTACTTATTTGACATGTTAGTTTGTATTCCAGAATTACAAAACAAGCTCTTGGAAGCAAAAATTAAGGTTCTATCTTCTCCATAGGACAGAGTATTCAATAAATAGCTCCTCATTCATTTTGAAATTGAAATAAAGCAATAGCTACTTGACTCACACAAATATATGTATCCTCACTGCAACATTATCTTAAATAGAAAACAAGTCAGAAACCTAAATGTTCAAGAACTCAGGAATGTTTAAATAGTTCATCAATGACTATATGTTGTAAAAATGTATGAGAAAACTACGTGGAAATTATAATTAAATGACAAGTAATACTCCAAAATCCCATGTATCTCATAATTACAAATATCTGTACAAGCAGGTAAAGATGAGAAGGAAACAGCAATAAAGATGTCACAAATACTGGAATAATTTAGGCCTCACTATGTGTCAGGCATTGGGCATACATGTAGGTAAAATTGTCGCTTACACCTCAGCATTCTCACTGGGTGATATTAGCATGTTGGTAGATACATAGTCTTTAGCACTTATGGTAGTAAATCTTTGAAGGAAAGTTTGTAGGGGCAGTGCCTGTGGCTCAGTGGGTAGGGTGCCAGCCCCATATACTGAGGGTGGCAGGTTCGGGCCCAGCCATGGCCAAACTGCAACAACAAAAAAATAGCCGGGCATTGTGGCAGGTGCCTGTGTTCCCAGCGGCTCAGGAGGCTGAGGCCCTGGAGTTGGAAGTTGCTGTGAGCTCTAGGACACCACAGCACTCTACTGAGGGCAATGCTGGAGGTGGCAGGTTCAAATCCAGCCCTGGCCAAAAACTGCAAACAAACAAACAAACAAAAAAACTCTACCGAGGGCAATAGAATGAGACTCTGTACAAAAAAATAAATAAATAAATAAGAAAAGTCTGCAGTCATGGAATATTCCAAGTCTGGACTTTCTGTACGGCTTTCAATTTATAAACATAGATTTTTTTTGTTCAATCTTTAAAATGGAAGAACAAATAAAATTTGTTTTGGCTTAATAATATCTCATTTCAATCTCAAGCTTCTTTCCATATAACTGACCTTTGTTAAAACCAAAGTGGAGGCTCGGCGCCTGTGGCTCAAACGGCTAAGGTGCCAGCCACATATACCTAAGATGGTGGGTTCAAATCCCCAGCCCGGGCCCGCCAAACAACAATGATGACTGCAACCAAAAAATGGCCAGGCGTTGTGGCGGGCGCCTATAGTCCCAGCTACTTGGGAGGCTGAGGCAGGAGACTCGCTTG